TTGACTTTAATAAATCAATATGAATTGCAAAATAATAATAATTAGCGGATTCACATTAACTTCAATCATTTGTACCATCAGCCACATACATTTGACATGACGTGTATAACTACTTGGATTCATTTTTATCTCCTTTCATACTGCAGAAATTTGTATTACTTTTTATATTAGCCTAGGTCCCCGTATTAGTATTCTTCTTCGTGTTCGTAAGACTTCTGAAATAGCTGGCAACCCTCCTAAATATAGTTAAGAAATAAAAAAATCTTGTGCGTCTGATATTGTGATACCTACAAACTTCATGTGCCTAATGAATTAAGTTAAATTTGCGTTTTTAAGTACGCGACAACGCTCCCAAATACTGTTAATTGACACCCATATTTTTAATAATTGCTTTAACTTATTAAATAATTTGAGTTTACCTTTTTAAACAGGTGGCAATTCTACTCAAAATGTTCGTTTCACGTCATATTTTAATATTTTAATTAGCTTATGCTTACTTTATATTAAATTCCAATTTTAAAAAATATGGCAACCCTATTCAAAATATTTTAAAACTAAATTCTTGTTAAACCTTTATCGACTTACATATTGCGATACAAATTGAAATTGTGTATATAACTCCCTTAATTCAAGTTGAATTTATTTTCTAAAACACATGGCAACCCTCTTAAATAAAGTTCAGAAGAAAATATTTTTAGCCCATGTTAATGAATACACATGCTTTAATAATTCATTTGACTTATTTAAACAATTTGAGTTTAACTTTTACACAGGTGGAAACCCTCTTTAATGTAAAAACGTTCAAACTAAATATATTCCTTTACTCCTTTGTTTCACCCCATATTCAATATTTCATATAATTTAATTCGAATTTTCAAACAGATGGCAATCCTGTTCAAATTATTTTTAAACCAAAACCTCGTTAAACCGTTTTTGTCTGACACTTGTATTGTGATACATATTTAAACTATCTAATACTCTTAATTCAAATTGAATTTAATTATAAAATCAGGTGGCAAACCTCCTACATGCAGTTGAGAAATAAGTCTCTTCAAAGCAATTTTGATTTATATTCATATTGAAGTAATTTATTTAACCTATTGCTTATATTGAATCTAACTTTTTAACATGGTGGCAACCCTCTGCAAAATATTTTCAAACCACAATCTCTTTCGTCGGATATCCATATCAGGATATACATTTACATTTTTCTACATATAATTAAGAAATAAAGTTTTTTCAAAACCATTTCGATCGATACTTATAGTGTTAAAATTAATTTGAATTTAATTTTTTAATCAAGGAGCAACTCTTTTTGAAAAAAAAGAAGTTATTGCACATCCACAGGCCGAGCCCTTTATGATACCTTATTTTGTAAAATCGAACGAACGGTACAGATCTGATATGACGAAGAAATTTTCGCGTTATGCATTCATATGTACATACATAAATTACTAAAAAAAACCGATCCACAATAACCGCAACCAACATATGTACCTACCCTGCAGGGAGTGACGTTAGCTTATACCTAACTTTAGTCTGTTTACGCGAACACTAGTGCTAACTATTAACTGTGTATTTTGTTCGAAAAAAGCTAACTACTTTTGTGGGGCGATGGCCGCAAAAAAGTCAGACCTGGATACCTCTGCATTACATGTCAACTAACTTGTAACTAACTACTTTTGGACATAAAATATCAATAAGAAAAACAAAATATTTTTTTGTTTTTTTACTTTTTTATTTACTTATTTATTTACTTTATTTTATTACATTTCATATTTGTTTACATATTCTGCTCTGGGTGGCCCCATATTCGAACACCGTCAGACATAACTTCAAAATGATAGTATAAAATTTCGGTCTTCCTTTTATTTGTCCTGAATATGAAAAAGAATCTGCGAAGTTCAGAAAAAAAGTGTATTGAAAGTAATTTTTGTATGAGGATATTTAATAGAA